TTGAGATTAAACGCTTCTAATCTCCCAGCAGATTCTGTGGCTGGTCTCTCTGTTCCCCTTGTCTCCAGTGTTTTGAATCAGTGCTGTAGGGAATCAGGGACCCTCACCCAAGAGCTATCCCAATTGGCTTACTATTCCCATAGAATTGTGACAATGTCCTCTCTTTGTGGCATCTTGGGGATAGAAGGAGCTGGGCAGGCATGAGATGTCCCCTGAAGGGGAACAGAGAGGCCAGCCACAGTCTTTTGGGAGATTAGGAGGGTTTAGATTTAAGAAAGCATCTAACGTGACTCTCAAAGGAACCAGCTACAGTGGGGAAAAACATGGGCTTTGAATGCAGGCAAATCTGTGTTAACATCTAGACAGCCTCATATATTAAGTGAATGTTAAATAAGTTATTTCGCCTCTGAGCTTCTGTTCCTTCATCTATAAAATGGCGATTAGGGGCGCCTGGGTGGCTCAGTCGTTAAGCGTCTGCCTTCTGCTCAGGTCATGATCCCAGGGTCCTGGGATTGAGCCCTGAGCCCCGCATCCCTACTCTGTGGGAAGCCTGCTTCTCCCTCCCCCACTCCCCCTGCTTGTGTTCCCTCTTTTGCTGTGTCTCTGTCAAATAAATAAATAAAATAAAATAAATAAAATAAAATGGCGATTAAAAAAAGTTAAGAGCTTTTGAAAAGGTGAAATAAGGTAACATGCAAATTCCCAGCACAGTGCCTAGCAGAGGTTGGTTGCTCATCAAAAACTAGTTTTTCTTCCCTTTTTCTTTCCTGATCACTAACTTCTGACTTTCCTGCTCCCCACGAGCTCATTTTCTGTCAGTGTTTAACCACTGCCACAGATGGGTTCTCTGATTTCATCCAGGCAGATCATATTCTTGGTTTCTTATTGGCACCTGAAAGAGGATTCTTTTTCCTACACGAGGTTGGCTGAAAGCCTATTTCCCATATGCCTAAACCAATATCTTGGACATTACCATGCCAGGGAGAGATGAGATAAGACTCACCAATGCCAGAAAAAAAATGAGCAAAAGTCACACTGCCAGGACAGGCTTAGTTATACCCACAAGTCTCCAACCCCCACCCCACCTCCCCAAAACATGATCAAATCAGAGTAACAGCACTTCTTTCTCCTTGACAAGGCGGTAGGTTTTTTTGTTGTTGCTCAAGGCCAGTCCTGGGGGAAAGAGTGAGGAGGGGAGGGTGAAGACTATTAGCTGTCCTCCAAAATCCATTCGTCCCTTCCATAGTAATAGGGATTTGGCTGGGATGTGACTGCCCAGATAGGAACCTCATTTGCTGGCTTGCCTTGCAGCCAGTTGTGGTCACGTTACTAAGCCCTTGTCAGTGGATGTGAGCAGAAGGGATGTGCATCTTTTGCCTTGCTTGTTTAAGAGTAAATCTGTGGCCCTGGAATTCTGTTCTTTCTCTCTCCTTACTATCTAGAAATGCCCCAAGCAGCGTGAACTCGGAAGCTACATGTTGAAGATGGCAGTCATTATCCTTAGTCCCTGAATGACTGAGTAGAGCAGAGCCATCCACCTACTTGAAATGCTGCTTTGGACCATACTGAATTGGACCTCCTAGTCAAATCTTTAAAGTTCTTCAAATCCTTCTTCAAATCTCCAGGAAACGTCCACTAATACTTCTCTCTCCTCTTCTTGACCATCACTTGTAATATCTGTTCCCCCTATTTTCTGGTACTTAACTACATTGTTTCCTATGTGGTTCTGTTTGGTTCTTTATTGATGTGTGCCTCTTGTCTGTTAAACAGAAGGAGATCCTAAGATGTGATCCTTTGCCTCTGCTCCCGTTTCCCTAATAGCACATCTATAGTGGACACTGACGGAGCCCAAAGAGCCCCCCCTTCCCCAGCTGCTGCGGGTATTGGCTGCCATCAGTTTGGAGCTGCTCCCTTCTCCAGAGATTTGGCCTCAGCCAAATGTGAGCACCTCTGGGAGGTTAAGTACCCTCCGTAGCAGCCAGCAGCCAATGATGTGTGACACGGGGCAGAAAATGATAGCCACAAAAGGTGGGGCAATTCTGTGATGACTACTGAGCTTCAGAACCTTCCTGAGGAGCCAGGCTGTTGCAAATCTCCAACCAAGACAACTTCCTTGTTTAGCTTTCTTCCACTGTGCTAGCCTGCAGTAGCTCACACGTGCCACCTGTCTCCAGAGAATTGCCCTCAGCTGATGAGATCCTACTTACAATCCTCCTCTTGTCCGCCTTCCCCACCAGAGTGGCCCACAACCAATGCCTCACTGATATGGGGGCATAAAAGACCAGCCCCCTGGCCTCAAGGGGGTGTAATCCTGCTGTGCAGTTTGTGCCCCAGTCATGTAGACTAGTTCCCTGTGGATCAGGCCAGGGCTAGACATGACTGGATACACACTTTGTTCTTTATCCCTTGCAGGTTTTTCCTGAAAAGTGCCCCATCAATAAATGCCTGTCTCAGACTGTTTCTAGGGAACCCAACCTCAAGCTAAGGCACCAGTGCTCTGCTATCATTTCCCCAGATCACTTTCCCATTCACTTCTGGGGACTATTCAGATCCACACCCTGGGCTGGGTGTGCCGTGGTGCCAAAATTGGGTTGAAGGTGGTGCAGCAGTTAGAGGAAGAACTGGTGGGCTCTACTTAAGTAATTATAAGGAATACCTACTAATTAGGGTTGTTATGAAGGTATTAAGAGCTAAATGAGTTAATGTGTATAAAATGCTTAGACCGCCAGCTCACATATAGTAAATGCTCTTAAGTGTTAGGGCAGGGGTTTCTTTGATCTTTTTTACTTATGAATCCCAAGAGTGCCGAGATGTGTGCTTGGCACATAGTAGGCCCTGTTGAATGAGTGCTTATTGGCTCAACTGATGTGCTGGGATCTGGCCAGCAGAGGGCAGAACCAGTGCAGATAAAATATCCTGTGCACTGAGGAGGAAGTGCCATTGAACTCCAGACAGTTGGCCGAGGGGGGCGGGTACTGAGGTAGATTGAGCCCCTACTTTGTGAATTCAGACCAATAAGTAGCTCTGGGCCTGGAAGTTGCCCTGGTGTCTGTAGCTCTTCTTTTGAACTTGTGACTGACCACTCCATGCTCCCCTCAATAAATCCCCTTTTGTGTTAATGCTAATATACATTGGGTTTCTGCAACTTGCAAGCAAAAGAATTTATATTCTCTTATTAATCCCTATAAGTGTAAGGACTGTGTGGAGGGGAGCCACTTCCATGGGTAGGGACACTGAAGTCCCAGAGATGCCACACTGGGCCTGCTTCCTGCTCAATTTCTCAGCCAACCACTGTCTTTAAGAGTGTGGTTTCACCACATTTCTACCCGCAAGCTTCCTTTGTCTTGTTCTCTTCTTTCACTTTGCTCATTTAGATCAGTCCTATCTTTCAAAACCCAGTTCAAATTCTACCTTTCTCTGAGTCCTCTAAATCTACTCAATCTCATTTCTTAAAATCCTTCTAGCCTGACCATTCCTATACTTGATTGCATTTCCTATTTTATTTGGGAGTTTGGGCTGGGTGGTCTCTAAAGTCCCATTCAACTGCAGATTTCTGAATCTGTTGTCTTCCCATATGTCAAATCTTCTAAAGTAGGTCTTCACCTTCTCCTTCAAGAAGAGCTAAGGAAAGGCTTGAGCACACGGGGCTCAGCACAGATTTGTAGGGAGTGAACACAACTAACTGCTCATGGGAGTGAATGTGTTCTGTGATCATTCAAGAAACACATAGGCATTTATTTTTATTTTTTCAAAGTGGAAGTAGCTTCCCCCTTCCCTTATTATACAAGCAACATACTTATGGTCAAATAAATCAAATATTACGTAGATTTTTTAAGTAGGAAGGGAAGATCACCCACAGTCCTTCCCTTCCGAGATAACAGCAATTAAAATATTCTTTCAGAGTTTTTGCTATATACAAATATGTATGTTTCAATAGGGCCTTCTGGACAGAACAATGGGAGGTTCCAGCCTGGGATTTGTAGCTTGTAAGGTATTCACTCGCCGCATTGCACGTATTAGACTGAACCATATGAAAACTACTGATAGTCAGCTGCTTTTTGACCTACAAACACAATTTTATGATTTAACCCAATGTCTGTGAAGCCCAGAATGTCAGAACTGGTAGAGCCCTTAGAGAGTTTCAAGTCTAACTATTTCATTGTGCTGACAAGGGAAAAGGATCAGAGAGAGAAGTAACCAGCCGGTTCACGTACCAGAATCCTTCCACTGAACCAGGTACCTGCCTTTCATACTCTCCTCCTTTTAATTTGATAACCTTCTAGGTGTGATAGTAATCTTCTAGAAGCAGGTTTCAATTTGGTATCAGAAAACTTCTCCCAGAATTTCATCAAATCAGAAGAGGCTATGTTAGAGGGAGTGGCGGGAGATGTGGCTGGGAGGGGCACGGTGACACAGCTGGAGAGGCACGTGACCCACGGAGCTAAAACAGATCACCATTCAGGGCCCTGCACTTGTATGGCTCCTTAGCATCATAGGAGGGGTCCTAGTAATGTATTCACATGGTAATATGTGTTTGTCATATTTGCAAAAGCAGGCAGTTTTTGAATTCTTTTTCTTAAGGAGGGCCCACAGAATTGTAGACGTTTCAGGCCTGGATCCTGTCCTGTGTGGTGCAGATTTGAAAAGCACTAGGCATGGAAACCAGAGTTCCTAGGTTCTAGTTATGGCCCTGCTCTGGCCCAAATGGCCAGAATGTTACTTACAGGGAGTAAAATCACAAACGTTAAAATGTCTTGGAACACATAAAATGTGAACAAATATAAATAAGTCACCTTACTCAGATTCTTATCTGTGATACGGCAATCACTGCTGCTTTTCATGGTCATTGAAGATAACACATCAAAAAATGTGTCCTCAGGAGCGCCTGGGTGGCTCAGTTGGGTAAACGTCTGCCTTTGGCTCAGGTCATGATCCCAGAGTCCTGGGATCCAGCCTATGTCAGGCTCCCTGCTCAGTGGAGAGTCTGATTCTTCCTTTCTCTCTGCCTCTCCCCCTGCTTGTGCTCATGCGTACTCTCTCTCTCTTTCAAATAAATAAATAAAATCTTTAAAAGACATGTGTCCTCAGGGCATCTTCCTGTTTCATCTCCCTCTGCTACAACTTCCTTTTCTCTTTCCTCCAGCCTCTAGCCCCCAGTACTCCAGCCACTGGGCCAGTCATTGGTTATTATCTTTTGCTACTTCTATATATTTGTTCATGGGGCTCCCACTGTCTAGAAAGTCTACCTTTACTGGAAAAAAAAATCTTCATCCACAAGGCCCTGGTCTGCCAGCCCTTCTCCTCCCACCCTAATGATGACCTCCCTTAGGACTGTTTCTTGTTGCTCCTACAGATGGGGACACTGAGGCCTGGTGTGGTCCATAACTGAGTTCTGGTGTCTTGATATGCTGCCATTCCCAGCCCCCTAGGGTCAGATCATAGACACACGGTTCTTGATGTACACGTGATAGGGGTCACTGCGCTTGTCCACTTTGCGGGAGCGGGTATATCCCAGGATGAGGCTGCCCACGGTGACAGCAAATAGAAACATGACGAAGAGAATGTACATGTAGGAGTTGTCATCACGGCCAGGTAGGCTGGCCTGCCGCTCCTTAGGCAGGTTGTCAGGCCCTGCCCGGCAGAGCAAGTTGCTGTGAAGAGTGGCATTTAGAGCCTTCAGCACTGCATGCAGGCTCTCATACCAGGTCTCAGTCCCGTTGGTGGTCTCCATAGCAACAGGGATCCAAGGGGGCAAGGAACTGGAGGATGCTCTGTTGGTGACAGAAAAGAGAGGGGATAGCTTCTGTCACCTGCGGCTTGAATTCCCTCCTGACCCCTTCAGACCCTAGCTAAAATCCCAACATCACAGTTTATTCTAGCTACCTGTTTACTTGTCTGTCTTCTCCATTAGACTGTTGGGGGGAAATTCTGTTGGAAATGAAGTGGTGGGGGAAGCAGGGAGAGGCTGATAATCACTGTAGACACCAGGGAAAAGAAGAACAGGGTTGGGCTGGAGGCGGGGGAGGGAAAGGATCACTCAGTCTGGTTTGGGGTTTTACCTACCCCAGAGAGAGAAGACACAGGCATCTCAACTATCCTGCCTTGTGACAAAAAGTCACTGGGTACCTGGTATATAATAAATGTTTCTTCTCCTTCCTCTCAGAGATTCTTAGTCTATAATATAGACTTCTATAATATAGAAAAATATCCAAAGACAGCCTTGTATCCTAGTCTCTGAAAAACCATGTCATTCCCTTTAAACAAGGCTCCACACTCACTTCTTTCGGAAAGACTTCACTGAGTGTTCCCTACCTCCCCCCCCTTTGTAAAAAGATTTTATTTATTTATTTGAGAGAGAGAGAGAAAGCATGAGAGGGGGCAAGAAACAGAGGGAGAAGCAGGGAGCCCAACGCGGGGCTTGATTCCAGGACTGTGAGATCATGAATGTTTAACCAACTGAGCCACCCAGGTGCCCCGAGTGCTCCCTACCCCTTAACCATACTCCACAAGCTTTATTAGCACAGCCTTCCCTTTTGGCCAGCACTTACATATAAGGCAATGTGTGGCTATTCTCTTGTGGTTGATAAGGGTATCAGCAGTCCACATGCTCCTGGTCAGCAGGGCTGTGTCTCTTCCTTAAGTCTAGGGGACTGCCCTGAGACTGGCTGGGTGTTGTGCTGATCCTCAGGGTCTACCTTGTGACTGGCTGGGTGTTCTTCCCTCAGTGGTCTCCAGTAAAGATGGCTACTTTAGGGACTTCTCCATAGGCCAAACACTCAGAGTTCACAGACTGGTTCCAAAGCCCTCCTTTATCTAGGTAGAGTTGTCAACCAATTGAAGTTAACAAACTTGACTATTACGCAAATGGCCTCTTCCCCAGAAAAGATGACAGTTATGACCATGATCAATATTTATGAACAACTCTATGAATGCAGAAGTTGGGGGAGGGGAATCTAAAAAATAGAGCAGTCACCCAGGACTGGCCTACATTTCATGCAAGGCCTTTGGGGCTCCCTGCTACGTGGTGCTTGGACTACCCTGTCTGGATGGAGGAAGGGAAGAGAACAAGGGCTCATGGACTTAAGATCCAGGAGGCAGAGGTTTTCATCTGCTATCCCACTTGTCAGGTAAGAAATTTCTGCCTTCTGCTTCCCTCATATTGGCCAATGGAAAGTAGCAGCAGCACAATGAATTAATGGCCCAACTAATCATTCAGCCAGTCATCATTTATGAAGGCCCACTCTTGGGCAGGCCTCATGCCGGGAGCTTGGGTAGGCTCAGACCCAGTCAGTCCCTGCACTTAGAGACACATTGTCAGCTGATCTATAATGCAGGGGACAAGCCAGGGACTACTGGGGCTTAGAGAAAGAAGGGACAAATTCTGATCAGGGCTCAGAGAGTTTCACAGTAATAGAGACATCTGAGTTAGACCTTGAAGGGTTTTTTGGAAGTAGAGAAGGTAAGAAAACAAAGAGGTGAACAAGCATGACAAAAAGAATGTTTAGAATAGAAAGTAGCATAGGGCGCCTGGGTGGCTCAGTTGGTTAAGCGACTGCCTTCGGCTCAGGTCATGATCCTGGAGTCCCGGGATCGAGTCCCGCATCGGGCTCCCTGCTCGGCCGGGAGCCTGCTTCTCCCTCTCCCACTCCCCCTGCTTGTGTTCCCTCTCTCACTGTGTCTCTCTCTCAAATAAATAAATAAAATCTTTAAAAAAAAAAAAAGTAGCATAAAGGGGTTGGAGTGTAAGATGTGTGGAAGGATAAGATAGGACATGGGATAGAGGCTGCCCTGAACAAGTCTCATGGACAGCTTGACTGCCAGGCTGCAGAGTTGGAACTTTATCCTGCAGTTGGGGTAGAGCCATGGAACAGTATTTTAAAAGGGGATACAATGATAAGAGATTTGTGCTTTGAAAGGACACTTTGGCTGTTGTGTGGACTGGAGGGGGCAAGAATTAAGACAGGGAGCCTAGTGACAAGGGTCTTGAAATAGTTCAGGTAGAAGACACAGAGTCCAGACAGTTTCCTCATCTGTCAAAACAATTATCATCAGGAGTTATTCAGTGGGTACAGAGTTTTAGTTTTGCAAGATGAAAAAGTTCTAGAGATCTGTTGCACAACAGTGTGAATACAGTTAATACTGCTGAGCTGTACACTTAAAAATGTCAATAGGGTAAATTTTATGTATTTTTTTTACCACAATTAAAAACAACATCATCCCTGCCCTGCCTCCCTCCAGGCTTGATTGAGCATACAGTTTTATTATGGTGAAAAAAATGTTTAAAATCTATTCTCCATTTTTGAGAAGTAAATACATAGACACAGTACATACAATGAAGATGAAGTCTTCCTGTTCTCAGGGGTCCAGGACTCTCTCCCAGAGCAGTCACTGTTACTTAGTTACACAGTTTTCTTAGATATCCTTACAAGGTAGTTTTAACTGACAGGGCAGAGAAAGGGCAACCTGAATCTGGAAGACTCACCAAAGAACAGGCAAATCCTCTATGGCTCTGAGTCAGCTTCAGGAATCTCCCTGTGGGTGCCCTCGGGCTCCTCAGCCCCTCAGCCTCTTCAGGGTGTCTCTGGACACATCTGGGGTCTCAGTATTGACATTGGGGAGCTGGGAAGGCCCAGAGCTGGAAAGCAGGGGATGAGGCAGGAAAGCAAAGAATCAGACACCCAGAAAACTCTTCAGAACCAGGGTGGATCCCCCAAGGCTGGGGCCCCAAGGGTTGTGAAATAGCCTTGCTGTGGGTGCTAACCCCCTTCCTCTTCCCTTCCCCTTCCTGCAGCAGCTGGGTCAGGCCAGTCTAGGGTTGCAGTTACAGGAACTGTGCCATGGCCAAGGGACATCTGATTGCTGTCCCTCAACTCCAGGCCCGCGATGTCTCTATTGGGTGACTTTATGAGAAGCCTCAGTTTAACGTGTGGACTCCCGCTCAGGTACCAGCTAATAGTGCAGACTCAAATATTCCCTTTCCCAAGGGTACAGGTATCTTAGCAGAAGTCTCTAAAAGGCTGAAAGAGCCTGAGACCCAAGGGAATGATGCGTGTGGGCAGAATGGCAACTGGCAGTGGGGTCGATATTTTACATAGGAACAAACGATGTTCTTCCCAATGAACCTATCTGGATAGACTGGGTAGAACACGGTCACAGCGTCCACATTATCTGTAGCACAGCTCCTTGTGACAGAGAAGAAAACGGCACAGATGCGGTGGCAGTTTTATTTTTGACGCGCAGGGGCTGGCTGGACCTTCAGAGTCCATCTGGTCTAACCTCTAGTTAACCGCCTTCAGCTTACAGCGAAGGAAATGGAAACCCGAGGAGCTGTCTTGGTTCAGCTGCTACCTGTGTGACTTAGGGCATGTGACTTCCCTTTTCTGGGCCTCGGCTTCTGTCCGCATCTGTAAAATGAAGGGGTTCTATCTACATAATCTGGTAAGGTCAGCTCTAACATCCCACGAGGGTACAGATCACAAAACCACATTGTGAGATTACAGGAAGTTGGATAGGTTGGTGGAAGAAGCATTTTGGGGTCTTTCTAGAGCCCCTAAATCACAAGATAGAGAAGGCTGCGGACCTCGTTCTCACAGATTAAGATGTAACTGAGCCCCAGGACTGAGTTACACTGAACATTCCTGCCTAGATAAATGGAGAGCCAAATCGGTTGACTTGTTCGTTTTTCCTCTTAACAGCCAATCTGCCCAGGTGATCTAGCCAGGGAAGGAGGCAGACTGTGCAGAAAGTGGGGGTGGAGGGATAGTGTGGGGGACAGGGTGGGCTCTGAGGTGGGGTTCAGTGAGTGGAGTAAAGATTCATGAAACCGTTCATCCCTCACATCCTCCTTCAGGAACCTCTCAGGATAGACCCTGATGTTTGTGGTTCTGACAGGAGAGGCAAAGAAGCAACTGTTACATATCTTTAGGTGCTGGGTTGGGGTAGGAAGGAGGGCCTGGGTGCAAGGGCATCCTGCTGGGTCAGGAGAGACAGAGAGCTGATAAAGGGACGGGTTGATTCTCTTCGCACTGCTTCTAGATCCAAGGATTGGCCGTTGGCATCACTGAGAATTTTGTTCCTCCTTCTGAGCTCCTTGGCTGCACTCATCAAGATAAGTCACTGATTATAAAGTTCATAGTGGGGAGGGGGGAGATGGAGCTCTGCTCTGGAGGGTTCTTAACTTGAAACAGAAGATAGACCAGTTAAGAAGGAAGGTGAATAGTGACTGACCACGTGGAAAGAGATTTTAAAGATTATTTAGAATCTAGATTCTAGGCCAACTCCTGCATTTTGTAGACGGGGAAACTGAAGTTCCAGGAGGGAAGGTGACTTGCCCAAAATGGCAGGACAAGTGGAGGGCAGAACTCCGATGAGAACCGGGGTCTTTAGGGGCATGTGCTGTTTGGGTGCTCTTTCCACTACCAATGGCAACATTCCCTGGCATCTGAGTTGTGCATCACACCAAACACAGTCTCCTCATGTTCTGAGGTATCAGGTCCTCTAACTCCGTATTATTGCTTTTTCCTGCACTGCAGATTCTCACCAATCAAGGATCTGGTAAGGGGGGGAAGTTGGCATGTTTTGGAGGAGGAGTTAACCTTCCTTTATAATCTCATCTCCTGTGGTCCTTTCTGCTCCAGATGTACTCCTGTTCCCCCAAACAAGCCAGGAGCACCCTCTTCCTCTACACTCTGTTGCTATTTCCTGCACGTTAATAGGTTCTTCCTGAATGTTCTTTTTTTTTTTTAAAGTAAGTTCTATGCCCGACGTGGGGCTTGAACTCATCACCCTGAGATCAAGAGTCGAATGCTTTACCAACTGAGCCAGCCAGGTGCCCCATCCCTAAATGTTCTTGACTTGAACTCACAGGTGTCTAAGTTGGGGGTGGAGGTGTAAAGCTGTGATCTGAAGGATGAACTGGGCATCTTAGGTTTTCTTTCAGGTTTCTCTGGGGAAAAGAGAAACTCCACCATTGGTTCTTTTGGGTTCCCCACTGCTCTGTTTCAGCTACTCTTTCAGAATGAATGTTTTAAGTGCCTGGGAATGTAGTAAAGAGAGGCAAGGCGGGGAAAAGTCACAAAAAGAAGATAGGGAGGGGATCCAAAGACAACCCCTGGGACCACACAGTTTTGCCATTGGTCCTTCAGGTGGTCTTATCACTACCATTGACTGGGGCTCCAGTGGAGTGGGAGAGGAGTTAAAGGACTGGACCCTAACAAAGAGTTGGAAGGAGACACAGGAATAAAAACTGAGCTGGAAGGGATCTTAATAATCATGTTGTTGGTACAAACCCCATTCAACCAGAGGAAAGTAGAGCACCCCGTCCCTGAGAAATCACCTGCACAAGGTCTCAGTCCAGGGGTAGAGCTGGGACCACAAATAGGTATCCTGTCCACAGACCTTTCTACTTTTAGTTCCCTGTTGCCTGTAGGACAATCTAACCTCCTCAGATCATCATTTAAGCCTCTTTGGATGTGACCCTGCCTCTAGCCCCATCTCACCACAGCTCTCCCCAGTACGCTGTGCCACATGATACTGAACTGCAGGCCATTTTCCAAACATTCCTCGCACTTGCACACTTCTTGCCTTTGTTTATGCTGTTTTCTTAGGCAGAGAAGTTCCCTTCCTCTTTTTATCTTCCTGGTGAACTCCTATTCATCCTTCAAGACCCAGCTCCAATGTCACCTCTGTACACCCTCTCCTGAGACACCCCCCCTTGCCCACTCCCTAGACAGTTAGTCTCTCCCTCTTGTCTGTTCCTAAAGTGCTTTGCATAAAACCCTATTTGAGGACTGTGCTGTACTGAAAGTGTATATATGTGTGTAGGTATCGATACCTATAAATGTGTATGCTAAACTATGTGCTGTGAGGTGTGAGGGAAAGGACCTGTACCTCATACATTTCTTTATTCCCTGGGCCTGAGCACATAGTAGGCACTCAAGAATATATGAATCAGTGCCTCTTCTTATTAGACCATCCCCCATCCAGCACACACATACACATTCATGAAAACAGTTTACAGTGAGTACTTAAAAAGCAACTTCAAGTGCAGAAACATACACCATTTGTTTTGGGAAAGGGGGGGGTGCTCAAAGAAAAGAAGCCATCTTGGTCAGGTGGAGAAGTGACTCAGGGGAGGAGGAATTCTAAGCCTTTTTTGGAAGCCCAGACATTCCCTGTACCCGAACCCCATTCAGTCCAAAGGGCAGACATTCTTGGCCCCAAAACACTAGCAGTGGTTTTGCCACCCTCTTCCCTGTGTACCTACCCAGGGTGTGGTGACACACACCCACCCATTGCACACACACAGTCCAATTCCCAGTCACCCAGCCTATGATCTTGCCTTTCATGTGTGCCTTTGATGGTTCCAATCTTGGCTATGTGACCTTGAGCACTGCATTTATTTCCTCTGAAACTCATATATGAGATGGGGATAATTATCCCTGCCCTGTTTACCTTACATGAGGACTGGGGGAGACAACAGAGGGGAAGGTGTTTTAGAAATTGCCAAGTATCATAGAAGCATAAGAGAGAATTATTGGGCAATCCGATTTCCTTTTCTATTTCCCTGCCCCACCTCCAGATTACCAAGAACAGCCATCCCTATGTTGCCCCTCCCTCCTCCCTTTGGTTCCCTTTCCTTGGGAGAAGTCAGCAGGTTCTTATGACTCTTCTTGATTCTCAGACACATTTTCCTCCTTCAAAAGCTTTCTTTGGGGCACAGTGGCGCAGTAGGTTAAGCATCTGACTCTTGGTTTCAGCTCAAGTCCTGACCTCAGCGTCGTGAGATGAGCCCCCACCTCGCGCTCCGCACACAGAACAGAGTCTGCTTGAGATTCTTTCTCCCTCTCCCTCTGCCCCTCCTGCTCATGCTCTCTCTCTCTCTAAAATAAATAAATCTTAAAAAAAAAAAAAAAAGCCTTCCTTGTTTCTCATACTCTGATCAGCCCTATAGTCCCTTTCCATTTAGGGGTACCATTCAGTAGTCCTGTCGTTGATGGAGAACACACCAGAATTGGAATCAAGAGACAGGCCCCTATTAGGCCATGTCTAGCCATGTGTCTTGGTTAAGTCACATCTCCACTCTGGGCCTCATGTTCCCCATCAGTAAGTTGGGGGTTTTCTCTTACCTCCCTCTTGGTAGGTATTTGGAGCATCCACCTATTCAGTTTATGGATAGAAATGCGTTTTGAGATGTGTGGAGTGAGTGAGGGATGAAGGTTGTGGGTTATCATCTTAAGGAGTCAAGAAAATCTGAAAGCAGTTTCCATGCCTCAAGCAAGGGGCTCCTCCATTTGGAAACCAGCAAAGTGGATGGATACCAGGAGATAATGAGGGGCTTACACATTTATGATGCACCTTTGTAGGTGAAGTGGAGAGAACCCTGGACTAGAAGTGAGGAGACTTGGGTTCGTTCTGGTTCTCTCTGGTTTCTGGTATGTCCCTGGGCAACCTATCTCCTCTCTGGGCCTCAGTTTCCCCACAAGAGTGGGGAGGAGGGATAGAGGAGATACTCTTCATGGGCCCTCACACAAGGGTCTGTCTGAACTCATCTATTTTCTGGATAAGAGAATCCCAGGTCCAGACCCCTTTCCCCTCATGTCACATGGAGTGTGCTGACAACAGAACCGAGAGGCCTATTTTACAGGTGGTGACCCAGGAAAAGAAAGTACAAGGCATACAGCGGGTAGGGGACTTGCACAGGTTTACACAGCCTCTAAACTAGAACCCAGTCTCCTGACTCCCAGCCTAGACCTCCGTTATAAGCAACAGAAGGTGTCTTTGGGAGTCCCCAGGCGCGGGGCACAATGCAGTAGCGAATGGGCAAGTGGGCTCCGCGGAGCAAGCAGCTCCGGCCAAATAAGAAGACCGCGCGGGGCCCCCGAGGGCCATTTCTGCGTATGCGTTGGCTGCGGCCCCGCCGGTGTTCGCCTTGTCTGTGGACCTGGAAAGAGCTTTCGAAACGCCGTCCCGGCGCCCGTGGGTGCTGCTGCAAGCCCCCGTGGTTTTCAGGCTGGGAGTGCCAGGGGCCCAGCTCCGCACTCCCACGTGGGGCCCCGGGATCCCTGCAGCTCGGTTCTGGGGAGGTCCAGCTCCGTTTGTGAGCCGCCCCCCACCTCCGGTCGGCGTTCTCAAGGGAGGCGGGAAAACCCCTCACTTCTACCGCCGGCTGCAGCGCAGCCTTCCCGACCCTGCGAGTGCGCCTTACCTGCCTCTCGGGAAGACTCCGAGGGGCGCCGGGCTCTCGGTAGAACCCCGCACCCTGTGCTCCTCGGTGCCCCCGCACAGCTGCCCTCCGCGCTCCGGCTGCCGGTCCGCACACAGCCGGCGCTCCACCTCGGCTCTGCGCCCCGACCCGCCCGCTCTGCTCCCTTTAACCTTCCCCAGGGCGCCTCCTCCCCCGGCCCCGCCCGGCCTCCAGCACACCCACCTCTCCCCAGGCTGGCTTCGGGCGCCTCCGCCCAGCTATTTGGCCTCACGCGGCTTGGGCTCCGACCCTTCCGTCCCCTGCAGCGCCTGCTTCCTGAACCGGAGACCGAGCGCCTCTCACTTTGCTTAAGCTTGCCCAGCCTGAGGCTGATCTCCCAAATGCCAGGCTGAGCGTTGGGTGCTGCTGGAATCAGGCTTTGCTCCTAAGTGGCTGTGTGGTGGTGGGCAAGTCACTGCTCCTCACCGGGCCGTAGCGTCCTCGCTGTAAAATGGGTCAAGTTCCTGCATGCATGCTTCGCACGGTGGTGGGTTGGGTCAGATGAGAGTGTAGAATCCAAGATAGTAAAGCCGATGGTCCCTGGAGAAATCATGGGCTTCTCACACAAACCATCTTTTCCAGACAGGAATGCAGAGGCCCAGTCTGGGGAAGGGACTTGCCCAGGCTCCCCACAGAAGTCAGCGACGGACCTCGGACTCAGAATTCCCTGTGCCACTTTCTCTCCTTCACCCCAGCGGATGGGCCCTCCTTCCAAGTCTCAACAGCTCCTCACAGGCCCGGACCATTGTTGTCCGGTCATACCTCGCTGGTCCCTGCCCCAGAACACCGTGCCCTTTCTGACCCCTCACACTATTGCTTGCTTGCTGGTGACACTGCAGGCTCCAGAAAAGAGAAGCAGCAGGGACAGCTGGGAAATGAGGGCGGGGGGGGGGGTCGGGGTGGGGGGGGTGGCTACGGGCAGAGGAGTAGACAGTGACTGGGAGCAGCCTCTCGGGGACTCTGTGGGCGTCCTTATCAGAGCCCTCTTTAGCAGCTTCCTGCCTGGGCATAATTAGTAATAAACGGCGACCAGCTCTTTCTCCCTTGCAAACCAAGATCTGTTCCAGGATATCTGAGGCGCATACCCTTATCAGGGAATCTCAGATTGTATTTAAGAAGTGCTGTCCTTTTAAAAAGACCCACCACGTGGAGAGAATGCTGTACAAGATTGCAATTCTTTATCAAAACACATTACTTCCCTGTTGTTTCTGTGGTTGCATATTTTGACCCATCTACTCCTTTTTCTCAGTCTGATTAATCACCTCTCAAGGAAGTCATCCTGACCCTGGGCATGAAGTGTTAAATTTCAGTCTGCCTAGGAATCACCTCAGAGCTCATTGTGGTAAAGTAGACTTTTGGGTCCTGCTCCAGAGGATCCAGAAATTAGCATTAAAAAAAAAAAAAAAAAGAGGTTCCCAAATGATTGTGATGCCAGTGGTTCTTAAGATCAGCCGTGAGGCACCAGCCCCGGCTCAGGTAGGGCTCCTTCCCCATTCTGCCCAGGGCCTTGCATTTACTCTATAGGACTATTTATTACAGTTATCAAAAGTAACTATTTGCCCACCTCATCTACTAGATTGTGAGTTCTCTGAAGATAGCGTTTTAGAATCATAGTCTTAGAATCACACCATCTTAGAGTTCTAGAATCATTTAGTGATAGAACCTGAGTTGGAAGGACTCTTGGAGTTATCTGGTCAAATCCCTTACCTAAACCTCCCCTATATTCCATTTTTGACGTGAGATTGTCCAGCTTCTCTTGTACACCTTTAGTGACAAGGAGCTCATTGCTTCCAAGGCAGCCAAGGCTCTGATTGTTAGGACGTTTTCATGTTTTAACAAAAACTGCCTCCTAGTTACTTCTACCCTTTGGTCCTTGTGCCCACTGGAGACACAAAGTATATGCCTAATTTCTGTTCCCTTTTTTGGTCCTTCAGAAACTTAAGGGCTGTCCTCTACTTCCCTTTCTCTAGGGTGAGGATGGAGCAGGAACCCTGTTAGGGAAACCAGCTGGCTAAGGGGTTCTTGGAAAGTGGACTTGAGCTGCCTCATTTTCTTTATCTATGCCTTGGAGGTTTTGCTACGAGGCTTAGATGACCCAATGTGTGTAAGGGGCCCAGAGCTGAGCCCAGCATGACGCATGTGCTTCATAAATGGCAGCTGCTATTGTTACTAGATGAGAAAAGAAAGGATGGAACAGGATTCCTGTCCTAGGAAGACCATAGTTTGAGAACGATCTTCAAGGAACTCTAATACAAAGAAGTTGGAGACAAGGCCCTGACCTTAGGACAGGTTGGGCAGGGGAGTGGGGTGGGCTGACTGAAGGAGTCAGAGGAAGACTCAACTGGAGATACACCTCCTTCAAGTCTTTACTTAAGTGCCACCTTCTTGCTGAGGTCTTCCCCGACCATTCCATTTACAAATTCTAATCCCTCCCTTCCGCTGCCCTCCCTAACTCCCTTTTCTGCTTTGTTTTTCAGTAACACCTAACATCATCTGATATATTTAACTTAAAAAAAAAAACAAAAAAAACCACTTTTGCTGTTGTTTCTCTTGCTGCATCCCTCAACCAAAGCTCCCAGCTTCCGACTATCAGCCCCATCTCAGAGCTCTCCCTGTTTCCACGTCCCTGTGATCACCCCCTTCCCTCTCCCCTACAGGCCTGGGGACTTAATGATGCCCAAATATTTCCAGCTCCAGGGTACTTCGTGATCCATCCCTTGTGGTTTCCCTACTCTCTGCCCACCTCTGTGAATCGAGCCTCCTCAAATTACTGTCCTGAGATGGTCGTCTGCTTCCTGCAGGCCCGGACTGATACATCCTCCTAGGGCCCCTTGCACTTCTCTTGAACACAGCACTTACCAGTCTGTGTTATAACTGTCTACTCTATTTTTTGACTCCACACCTAGAAGATCAGCTCTTGGAGGGCACTAGGGCAACACGAAGTCTGCAGAGTAGACCTTACTGAGAATGTGTTGAAGGACAGGGTCCCAGGGTCCTGGGATCGAGCCCATTCCTGCACCAATCATAGAAGCCAGGGAAAGAAGCTGACAGGGGTGTCATCTTTACATCTTTACAATGAATGAATGAGTGGCATGAAATGGAGATCACTAGGAATTATGTTATCAGGGAAAACTTCCAAGAAGAGATGGAACCTGAGAGAGCCTAGGGGCCGCCTGGGTGGCACAGTGAGTTAAAGCGTCTTTAGTCTTGGTTTCAGCTCAGGTCTGATCTCAGGGTGGTGAGATCGAGCCCTGCATCAACTCTGAGCTCCGTGCTCTGTGCTTAGCAGGGAGTCTGCTTAAGATTCTCTCTCTCTCGGGCACCTGGGTGGCTCAG